CCCTAAAAAATGTTTTGACACCTAAAACCTCCTAAACACTCAAAACTAAATCCTAATAGAACATAATTAACCCAAACATAAATAATATAAAGAAAAAATAATTTTGAAAAAGTGGCATTTTTGTAAAGATTTCAAAAGTGTGGCATTTTTGTAAAGTGGCACTTGAAAAGTGGTATTTTTTGAAATTTCTCTATATTATTTACACATTTAATAAGAATTTGACCTTTTAGTATTTGGCAATCTTAGAAATTTTCTTTAAAATGAACTATTGGATATTTATTTCATAATAAAAACATATTATTTTTTTTTTGTTTATTTGACAAAGTTCATTACAGGCCCAATTAAATTAATAGCTCCAGCCCATATCCGGTAAGGGTAACTTGATGTCGACTTTTAACGTTATTTTCAGAAGACAGTAAATTAGCTGCAGACTGCAGTCATGACGTTCTTCTTAGCTTGAAATGTATTTTTTTCCATCTTGACATCGAATAAAAAGATTCCCCCATTTCGAACACATTTTGGTTTTATTCAATAAAGAAGATTCCGTACACTCTTCTACATATGAGAGGAATCTCATCTTGCATAACAAGAAAACCAAAAAATCTCCCCAAAAAAAAAAAACATACACGAAGAAGAGAAGATGGCTTCCATGGGGACTTGATGGTAATACAACGTACACGGTGGCTCACACATGGACCATAATCGACGACCTGAGAGTGGCAGAGCTGGCATTTGAAGAATCAAGAAAGCTTGTGGTTGATACGAACGTTGCTACCACCGAGGCTATCATGGCAGATTACCAGAGAAAGAGCCAACGCTATAGACATCTAACTGAAATGGTGAAGCAATTGGATCGTATTACTATCTACAATGACAAGCACTTGTGGTTAGCATTCAAATTTCTTCACAAAAATGGACATGAGGCTAGGATCGAGGTTGCCTCAGAGGTGGAGACAAGGCATGCTAACCATCTGCGGGCTCTTTCAGCTGGATTTTTCAGGAAGGATCTTCCTCATGTTCCAAATCCAGACCCAGAGCATCGTTTCAGTGACACCTACCTCACTCTCAACGTAGCTGACATTAACTGGTAATGTGTTTTTTTTTTAAAACGTTTCTTTTCACTCTCTGTTTTTTATTGAGTAACTAGATGAGAGCCCGTATTGTCTTCTCAAACTAATGTATTGTTTGCAAAAATAATTGAACATATAAAAATGAGAGGTAAAAACAAAGTTTGAAAGCGTTTCTAAAGCCATTTTTGTGAGAAAACAACTCAAGAAAGATGGGGAAGAGACAAACATTTCCTTAGCTTTCTCCCAGAAGAGATCTCTAAATATAAATTGATGGCAAGTCTTTGTAAATACAACGACTTTTTAATGGTATTTTGGTAATTTTAAGTCTGAAACTTGCTGTGAGACCGTCACGTAGGAAAATTGACTTCTCATTTATAAGTATAGATTGCAATGTCTCAGTTTGTTTAATTTGTATGAATCGTTTATCTATTCTCCAATATTAACCTAATCAAGGTGTGTAA